TGCTCGTGTCGTTTGCAGCATTTGTGAAGTGATCATGAAGCACTCGGTAGTTTTCCCAGACTGCTATGACGCTCCTTTCACTTGAAGCCACCCAGCGGATGGACAAAACACGCCCTATCACCAGGAGACGCTGTCCGACTGCTTGCGCATACTGCGCTAACTGCCTCTGATTTTTGGGGGAGGCATGGAACAAGGAATAGAGTTTGTCAAAAAAAGATCTGGAAATGATTGAGCCCTGAGACCTCCTTGACCACATCCCCAACTGCCAGCTCGACGATGATTGGAGCAGTGCCACACAAACAGGCTTGGGAATTTACTACACAACTGGGTAGCAACGCCTGTTCTCTTCCCTAGCATGGACTGAAGCCCCATCACATGCAAAAGAAACGAAACACTGACCTAAAAAGTCCTCGTTAAAATCTCTTCCAAGACACTCCATTAACGCCTTTGTGATGTCATCAGCCGTTGTTCCATCCAACTCGATCAGCTCCCAAAAAAACGTTTCGGGCTCAGCATCAGCTAATGCTGAGCGTAGACACACAACAAGCACCGTTTTACCACTATTAGTGGTAGATTCATCGACCAAAACACAGAGTTTTCTTTGGTTTTCTGTAATGTCTTTTGCCATTTTTTTTCTTCAGCTCATGAGCTATGTGGTCGATGATTTCGCCACAGGTTTTATTGGAGTGCAAAACCCTGCCCACGTTCAGCCCATTCAGTTTCTGTACATTCAAATCAATTGGCATGTCTGTGAATGGCCGGCTATGTTTGCCAATTTTATATGCCGTTCGAAAAACTCTGATAGTGGTGTCTAATTCAGATGTATGCATAGACTGCACTTGATGTTGAATAGTTTCACGTGAAGCAGATGTAAGGATGTCAGCAGCTTTTACATGGGCTTGTGATTCTTTATGTTCTTTGATTTTTTTTCTCAGGCTAGCTTGTTGTTTGCCCTTGTCAACACCGAAATGAGACACTGCACACTCACCCCATTCAGTTGACAGTTTCAGTCCTTGTCCAGTGTGTATTCCCAAAGATTTGACATCTCTGCATATCCGACATCCTAGCTTCTTATCTTTAAGAAGGAGCCATGCATTGGTCTTGCAAAAATATTGCACCTGGTCCGTTGTCCAGCAGTCAGGTGCATCGCTTTGCCCGGTGTTGGTGGTGGCAGTTGCGCCAGCAGCAGCTAACGTTAGAGGCTCTGGAGGAGGCGGCGGAGCTAGTGCTAATGCTAATGCACTAGAACTTGGAGCAGGAGGATCAACCAAAGAAAGCTCCCCATCAGACATAATTTCCAACACAGGCACAGCATTCTCTGTATTTGAAGTTTCTTCCGGCGACAACCGCTGTCTTTTTGCACTTTTATTAATCCACGCTAACATTTTAGAAATGCTAATTTGTGACGTGACTTGCTTTCCTTCTCTCGGGGGCGTGCCTGCTCTGTTCTATCACTCTACATAGCCACCCACTGGGTGGGAGTTGCACTGCATAAACACAACACACGTGCATCTAGGTATGTAAATTGTAAAGCATTAAAACATGGTTTTACTAACAGTTTTCAGTATGTTGTTACTTCGGCATTATTATTATTATTATTTTGAAACGTGTATTACTATTAAATCACGGTCAAATAGGTTAATTTTGACATAGTCGTTTCCACCACAGTATTTACATGGAGAAGATAAGCCCCGCCCCCTCTCCAGCACGTTCTGTTTGAATGACAGGAGTAAACAGCTGACAGCCGCTGTGAAACTCCAGCGGTTAGAGCGATGAGAATGTCCGTTCGGCACCTCATGACGCATCTACTGAGTACCGGGCGGCTGTATATATATATGGATGTATAATAAGAACGGCGGGAGAGTGTTGAGTACTGGCACGGTGCATGAGTACCGGAGTACCGCCAGCATGCCGGTACTGAGCAAGAAGTGCCGGTACTCCATGGGTCAGAACCAGAAGTGCCGGTACTGCGTACCGGTGAGTACCGGCCCAATTCCAGCACTGCTTTTATCCAAAGCGACTTACATACTCGATACTGTGGGCAATCCCCACAGGAGCAATTTTGGGTGAAGTGTCTTGCCCAGGGACCAGCGGCGTAGCTGTGGGTGGGCCCGGGTGGACCTGGGCCCACCCACATGCACGTCTGGCCCCACCCACATGCACGTCTGGCCCACCCACAGCCAATCAGCGCTTCATAGCGCAGAGCCGGGAAGCCCAGAAGGAAGTGCCACAAACTACAGTTCATCTAGTGGCCGACAGGGGATGGATGGAAAAAGGAGCAATTCCCATAGACCCCCATGTTAAAATGCCCAACTTTACAGCAGAAATAAACATGTTTCTAGCCTGGATCCAATAAAACTTATTCTGGATATAGTTAGATTCCACCTTCATGACAATGGAATAGGGAGTGCATTTTTTTACCGTGAGTTTTTATAGTAAGTAAAGTAACTTTTGCCGTGAGTGAATGAAAGTATTATTTCTTCTTGAGGTAGGCCTATGCACTTTAGCGTGTACACATTTGCTGAATATGAAAACACTCAGTGTGTGCCCACTGTGCGACTGTCAAGGATAAACAACCTGTGCCTGTGTATGTATTATTGCTACACAAACATTACATTGCAGTTTAAGTGTCGCCAACTCCGTTTAAGAGATCTCTCCCCCGTCTGTGTGCGAGGGGGCGGGGCAGTTTACACACAGGCAGCTGCTACATGCAGCAACACACACACACACACACACGGAGGAGATGGCGGAGAGAACGTGCTCCGAGGTGTGGTTAAACTATAGCCGTGTCGATGTGGACAATGCTCGTTACCAAAAGTGGAATAAGAGTTTAGCATGTGAGGGCGGTAACACGAGCAATTTGTCTAAACATTTAGCAAAAGTGCTCCACATTCAGACGGAGGAATGCACCGGGTTCGACCGTCTTTCTAGCAGCTCTGCAGCCCCATCCACGAGTAACTTTTCCACGTCAGGTGTTATGTATGCTAGCAGCAACACTCGGAGTTAACTACATGATACAAACATGGGTTAATGATTAGAGGTAACTGAGTTATTTATTTTGTTAAAGTTTCAGCTATTCTGTTTACAGTTCTGTCATCAGATTATTTAATACGATTTGTTAAAACATTGTTGTTTCTTTTGATGTGAAATATTATGTATTTAATTGAAATAAAAAGCAATGTTAGTTTTGTTCACAATTTGTTTAGTTCGTTTGCCTTCTTTTTTTCTCCAAAAGAACCGATAAAAGTAATGTTAAAGGACCGGATCGATAAGACAGACATACTTTATTGCCATTTCAACAAGACACAGAGTACTATTAAAACGAAATTGCGTTGTACTGGCTTACAGGAACAGGACAATATAAAAACTTGCTAAAATTGTACATATAAATAAATAATAGTGACGTGGTGCTGATAAAATTAAAGATAAAGTGTGCGTTTAAAATATAAAGACTTACTATACATATAAATAAAATAGACATACTATATAACAAATATGTGCTCTTTACACAGCGTAATGTAATCTCTGTGTTACTGGTCTACTTGCTGTTCAGCAGTCTGATGGCATGGGGGGAAAAGCTATTGCAGAATCTGGCTGTTCTGCTCTTAATGCTGCGGAACCTCTTGCCGGAGGGCAGCAGGGAGAACAGAGCATGGTGAGGATGAGTGGGGTCTTTAAACATGTTCTGGGCTTTTGTCAGGCAGCGTTTCTGAGCGGTGTCTCTGATGGGAGGGAGAGAAACTCCGATGATCTTCTCTGCCGTCCTAACCACTCTCTGCAGAGACTTCCAGTCTTTGGCGTTGCAGTCTCTCGACCAGATGGAGATGTCAGCACGCTCTCTATGGTTCCTCTGTAGAACGTGGTGAGGATGGGAGGGGGGAGCTGTGCAGGAAGAGTGGACCAGGTCAGACTGCTTGTGATATGCACCCCCAGGAACTTGGTGCTGTCTGTAGTCTTCACTGTTGTGCCGTTGATGTGGAGTGGTGGGTGACAGTGCTTTTTGTTCCTGAAGTCGACAATGATCTCTTTTGTTTTATCGACATTCACGATCAGGTTGTTGGTGTTACACCAGTCTGTCAGATGTTTCACCTCCTCCCTGTAGGCCTGTTCGTTGTTGTCCCTGATGAGTCCCACCACTGTTGTATCGTCCGCGTACTTTATGATGTGGTTGGTACTGAACCTGGAGCATAAAGCGCTATCGATAAAAGCAGTAGTACCGTTAAAGCCTTAACGATACCCATCCCTATGTGGATGTCAGTTTTACACACATTCTGAGGCCGCCGTGCCTATGTTTTTTGTTTTCACTGCTAATTTATGTTTATGTTCTATTAGTGCATTAAAAAGTCATTAAAATCATTAATGAAGTTTCAGCTCAGACCCCACGCTTAATATGTCTCCCCCTGGCCCACCTACATTAATATGGCCCACCTACATTTCTCCAGGCCCACCCACACAATAATTCCTGGCTACGCCACTGCCAGGGACACAACGACATGCTGACTGCAGTGGGGTTTGAACATGTGCTCCCCTGATCCGAACACCAACGCACTATCCACTGAGCCACACGCCTAATATGTAAGGGTTAATGTGTAGCGAGGCGTCGGGCTCTTGATCAGCCTGTCGGGTGTTCTTTTACCCATAATGACCGCCTCGCTACACATTGTCCCTTATATACTTTATTGATCCCACATTTGGAAATGTTACATTACAGCAGCATGTAAAACAAGACATTGCACATCATTTGAAATTAAAAAGAGTTGAAAATAAACGATTATAAAATAGAAACGCCCCAAAATAGAAAATAAAACAGTACTAAAAAAGTAATATATATATATATATATATATATATATATATATATATACGTTGACTGTGAAGCTAAGTAAACTGTAAACCATCTGACAAATATAACACTATTGAAGGGCCACATTACAGTTTACTCAATATATAAAAGTAGGATACTATATATTTTTTTATTATCATGAAACTGATGTGGAGTGATACATCTTCCAATAGACGATCTTATAGTATTGTCACACTGCATCATATTTGACTGTACTCAGATTCCCTCATAATTATATGTTGTGTAAATATTAGCTTTTATAGTCGTGGTATTTTTTTATTTTGCTACCTATTCTTCTTTCTGTGTCTCTGTATGCACCACTAATACCAAAGCAAATCCCTCGTAAAACTACTTGGTAATAAAACCCATTCTGATTCTGATACTAAATCATAATTTCGAGACACTTGATGAATTATGGTGATTATTTCGTTAACATTTCTCATTATATTTTCATCACCTTAGTTCAATGACAATATCTGGGTTTTTTTCTGCACATATTGTTATTCCATTCTATTTCAATGTAAATACTGCTTTATTTCATTTTTAATTTTACTATATTTTTCTTATTTTGTAATGTTATTATAGTGTTCTTAACATAGTTCTCTATCTGTGTTTTTTTTTAATTGTTTTATTTGTAGCCTATGTATGCACCACGACATCAAGTCAAATTGTCAACCTAATACATCTGTTTTTGACTCCACTGAAAACAATAGTAGTGATACATCGTCCAATAGACGATCTTTTCCCAAAGGTAGTTTCCAAAGTTGTTGCGGACATGCTGAGTCCGCGGGAGCGCGCCTGCTGTGGATTACACCGGCCAGGGAAGAGCAGGAGACGGGGGCGCGCTTGCTGTGGATTACACCGGCCAGGGAAGAGCAGGAGACAAATTGACAAACTGACAAGTGAAGAGCCAGGTTCACACGGTGCTCCGTCGCTACTTCACCGGGAAACTTTACCAGATTTTAACCTCACTCTGGAGCCTTGGAGTGAGTTTCTTCTTCCACCACGGAGTGTCCCGCCCCAGAAGAGAAGGTACGTTAAGGTGTGAATGTTTGGGAGTGTTTAGCAGGAAGGCTAATTAGCTAGCTAATGTTAGCCACAGATTAGCTTCTGTAAATAATTACTGACAGGAGCTGCAACTCTGTGTTAACTTGACTATTAGTTAAAGGTGAGATGTAGTACACACACGTATTCCCATAACCAGGAACTGTAGTTTACTAACAGAGGTGGGAAAAGTATTTGAGTAAAAGTACCAGAGTGTAGGAATACTGTTACAGTAAAATTCCTGCTTTCAAAATGTTACTCAAGTTAAAGTATTAGCATCAAAATATAGTTAAAGTACCACAAGTAAAAGTAGCGATTATGCAGTTTGGCCCCTTTATGTCTTGAACATGTGTCTATAAATCATAGGTCTTGTTAATATAGTGTTGTATGCACTGATGTGTTGTCATTAAATCAGCATGCACTTATTTGCAATAGTGAGTCCTTACTTGCTATTACTTACGTTAATTTAAGTATTTTGGTAAGCAAAACATGGTGTCAATGTTATATGTTATGCATTTATTATTTGTATTGTATCTTTTGTAACTCTGCCTCAATAATTTCCTTCAGGTTAAACTAAACAAAGCATTACCTTACCTTACGCATTTGACCTATATGTAATGATTTACTGCTTTGTTGTTGGGTTACTCCCCAACCCTCTTCTTGTACATTGCATTGAATTGAGACTCTTGGTTTTGGACTTTTAGATAGATTCACAATTTCAAGTTCTTCTCCTTTTCGTTTGATAGACATGAATTGCTATTTTATGAAAGACTAATAGTTAAAGTCATCCAAAGCTAACTCAAGTATTTATTGCAGCTTTCAGATACATTCTCAAATAGTACGAACACCATAAATCACATGATCTTTGCTGCCTGAATGATGATGAAACCTTTTGATATTTCCAAGGAAGTGTGAGGGTGTACTCACTGTATCGAAGGACCGACGTAATGCCATGTTTGATTTGTGTCAAGTGTTGATTCCCACAGCCTGCTCCCATTCCTTCCTTGAGCAATCTACCTGTCACTAAACACGCCTTTTGTGTTTTATGTATGTTCCCATTCCTCTCCCACTGTAAGCAGGCTGTGGTTGGTAAAGTATGACACATTGTGGTCACTGGCAGTCGCACGAGACCCCGGGGAGTTGAGTTTCGAGCAAAGTCGTGGTGAGAGGTGTAACTGGGACAGCCTGTGCTGAATGTAGGCTGTTTAGGGGAGAGTCGACCTATATGTGCTGTGATTACGTGCGGAGGGCACAGTGCTGTTCTTACAGGCTCTACTCGTTTCTGATTTTAGGAATTGTGATTTCAGTTTCAGATTTTGAAGGATTTAGTCCAAACCATAATCCCAGAAAAAGCCAATTCTCCCCTTTATGAGCCTTTTTTATGCTTTTGTTTGTTCTCTATTTTTAAATCGTGTGCATAGAATGTAAGGCTGCTCAATTAATCGTATTTTAATCGCAATTACGATTTTGGCTTGCAACGATTACGAAAACAACGTAATCGAAATAAAACGATTACTTTATTATTATTATTATTATTTATTTTTATTGGTTTTTCAGTTGAATTCTACTTAAAGTTCAGGGTAATCAACTGTTAAAAACATACTGTTCAATTTGTTTTCAATAAATGGATGTTTTCAGAGTAAATGGATAATCGTTTGTAATAATCGTGAAATCAATTATTGACCCAAATAATCGAGATTATGATTTTTGCCATAATCGAGCAGCCCTAGTAGAATGGCGCTGCTGCTCAAAGCATTGAAAAATGGGCTAATATGCGAAACTTAAATCTATCTATATTTGGAGGGATTATTTGAGTACCAAAGAAAACAGTTTGTCTGAAAACATTAATGTTAAATCATATCTGTGTTTCTAAAACGTTGACATCTTGTCTGTTCTGTGACGACAACACACGAGCATTCAAATTGAGCTTTGTGAGCCTGATAAGCTAACTGAGAGAGAAAGGTGCTCTCTGATGAAAAGGACTCACTCAGAGGAATCGGGCTCTGGACCTGGCTAACGAGTGTCATGTGAAGAAAGACTCTCCGTGTTTCACTGGAAACATGTTAGGCATTTAGTGTTGGAAAACTATTCCCAAGGTGCTCCTTTTTGTTGTTCCTGAGGGCGGGAGAAAATGGGAGGGTGTGTTTCCTACATGTGCTGACAACGGCACATTTCTTTCACCACGTAACAGTCAAATGGACCCACATGTCCTCAGCTGAGGCCTTGCCATGGCGTCCTGTAGCTCTGCGTGGTTGTATTCTTCGGATCCACCACACGGCGCACTAATGTTAATCTTATTACCATCACATCAAATGAAGGTGCTTCCTCTGATTTAGCTGATTAGACTCTAAGAAGATTTGTCCACTGAGTAGCCGTACTGATGCTGGAGCTTAATCTACACGGGGATGAGTGAAAGAGACAACAGCCAGTCCAGGCGCTTAACCCTAGAGATGCCTTTTTAATTTGATAAGATGAACCAGAAGGCCTAATCAATATGTGTGTTGTTTGTGGACTTAATCAGCATCACTCATTTCTGTATGCTAGGTTATTAGGAAAGATACCTATTAGTCGGATGAGAAAGAAAGGGGCAAGAATGTTTTGCCATTTAAAGGTTAAAATAATCGTTCGGTCTATAAAATGTTGGAAAATAATGAAAAATGTAATCCTAATTTCCTAAATGCCAATCTTCAAATAGTTGGACGACTAGCAAAAGCTAATAAAATCTGTTTATAGTCGCATTGAACAAGAAAAAGCGTTACCTTAAAATCAGGAAGCTAAACTCATTGAAATACTAACTCGACAATGAATCGTTTATCACAACAGTGTCCCTACTTTTCTGTCGATTGACAACAAAATCATGATACATAGGATCTGACACATATTTGCATTTATCTTATACATATGCGAGCTGTAAGATGTGCTAACACAGCTGGTTTCAGATGCAGTACGTTATGTGAGATGTTTGAATCCACCGCCGTCAGACGGTTTGTGACGAACCTCAGAACTCTGGCCGGATATTGACGAGGAGTGAATTAGTGAAAAGCAAACAACCAGGGAAACGTTGCGAAGGACGGCAGGAAATTAACTTTTGTCTTTCTTCCGCAGAGATTTAACTTCCCAGACAATCAAGAGAGAAGCAATACTTCCTGAATGAACTCGCTAAGGAATGTCATAGTTTCTGTTAAGCAGGGTAGAGAAGGTAATTCCCTTTGCTTGGAGTCATTATTCCCAGAACTGGTGACAGACAGGATGTGTCGCAACTTAAAGGTCTCATATACTGTTTTCCATCAATATATTACAGGTCTCAGATTTATACAAAACATGTCTCTGAAGTGTTTGGCTCCAAACAGATCATTGCAGCATTACCCATAATCCCCTCTGTTTCAAAAGTGCTGATTCTCTGGGTGTTTCTCAATCTCGAGTAAAGCTGCTCCAGAGCCACTATTTCAAGCATACTAAGTCATCGAGTGCCGCCGAAGGACTGTTCCAATGTCCAGCATACTTGGAATTCTACCGAGCCCGGCGTACTTCGTTTGGAGAAATTTCGAGGCTGCACATGTGTAGGCTCCGCGGTCTTAAAATCCCCACAATGCTTTGCGCACGGACCAATTTCCCCAAATCTGTGGCAGAAAATGTAACCTGTCATATGACGCACACCTGCACACTTGCTCGCCTGTTCCACTCTTCGTTTTCCAAATGCTAGGAAGTATTCTTGCCTCGCTTCTGAAGCAAGCATACTCGACATTGAGAAACACCCACAGTCTGTTACTTTAGATGAAAATAAGGAGCCCCTCCCCACGCCCCTCTGAGAGACATTTGGTTACAAAGAACACAATGGTGCTCTAGGAGGAGATTCAGGTGATAAGGGGGGGGTTACCTTGGTTGCTGATTGGCTAACGGTTACACAAGCCAAAACGTTATGACATCATAAAGTGGCCAAAATCTGATCAGCTCATTTTCAGACAGGTTTTTATAGAAATGGATCAAAAAGAGAGAGAATCTTTTTTCCTGAAACTTTCAGAGTCTCTTTCCACAGAGGGGACACATGTTGATGTAGAAGAGACATGAAGAAGAGGGGACACATGTTGATGTAGAAGAGACATGAAGAAGAGGGGACACATGTTGATGTAGAAGAGACATGAAGAAGAGGTGACACATGTTGATGTAGAAGAGACATGAAGAAGAGGTGACACATGTTGATGTAGAAGAGACATGAAGAAGAGGGGACACATGGTGATGTAGAAGAGACATGAAGAAGAGGGGACACATGTTGATGTAGAAGAGACATGAAGAAGAGGGGACACATGTTGATGTAGAAGAGACATGAAGACGAGGGGACACATGTTGATGTGGAAGAGACATGAAGAAGAGGGGACACATGTTGATGTAGAAGAGACATGAAGAAGAGGGGGACACATGTTGATGTAGAAGAGACATGAAGAAGAGGGGACACATGTTGATGTAGAAGAGACATGAAGACGAGGGGACACATGTTGATGTAGAAGAGACATGAAGAAGAGGGGACACATGTTGATGTAGAAGAGACATGAAGACGAGGGGACACATGTTGATGTAGAAGAGACATGAAGAAGAGGGGACACATGTTGATTTAGAAGAGACATGAAGAAGAGGGGACACATGTTGATGTAGAAGAGACATGGAGAAGAGGGGACACATGTTGATGTAGAAGAGACATGAAGAAGAGGGGGACACATGTTGATGTAGAAGAGACATGAAGAAGAGGGGACACATGTTGATTTAGAAGAGACATGATGAAGAGGGACACATGTTGATGTAGAAGAGACATGAAGAAGAGGGGACACATGTTGATGTAGAAGAGACATGAAGAAGAGGGGACACATGTTGATTTAGAAGAGACATGAAGAAGAGGGGACACATGTTGATTTAGAAGAGACATGAAGAAGAGGGGACACATGTTGATGTAGAAGAGACATGAAGAAGAGGGGACACATGTTGATGTAGAAGAG